GAAGACAAAATTTGGCCAAAACTGGGCCAAGTACAGCTTTTAAAAATGTAATTAGTTTATACCAAGAGCTAATGTTTATAAAGCATTGCACCAAATACTTCACCCAATAATGCCATTCATCCCCACAACTCCGAAGATCTATGTCCTCGTTGCCATTATGCAGATAAGAAAACAGAATTAGACAATCGAAAGCACTGGTCTAGGGTCACAGAGCTATTAAGTGGCCAGGCAGGGATGGAAATCGAACCTAGGACTTTATCTGGCTGTCTGCTTTGAAGCCTAGGCTCTTAACTATAACACCAATATGCTTTCTACTAAATGTGCAAAAAAATTGACTGGGATATTTAAGCAAAAAAAAAAAAAAAAAAGGTGGAATAGTGACCTGTAAGGTATATGTTGCCAGATGAGTGTGGTAGGAGAGGTCTGCAGTGTGCTGAGATATTGATACTCTTTAGCTCCCAAGGCAGGAAGCACTGGGATAGGAACAGATCTTATTTTCCACGTCATTAACATTCCTATGGATTTAGGCTCCCCATCCTTAACTCTGGCCCACAGATCAGAATCAGGTGGGGGCACTTTAAAAATGATGTCTGATCCCCACTCCAGCCAATTATATCGGTATATACGGGGGTGGGCCCCATGCATCCAGGTGACTTTAAGACACAGGGCTCAGATGAAGTAGAACCAAAAATTAAATGATGTATAAAAAGCTTGCTTTTCCACAAAGTAGATTGCTACCTATAAAGCAAGAGTTATAGCATAGTAATCTAAATAAACTGCATTCAAGAGTTTCTGGCCTCTTAACGTTTTCAACCAAATTATAAATCAAGCTCCAGCTGTTACTCTTTTGGATCAATAGAGCCTTGGATAGCATCTGTTGCAAAATCAATTTGGTCATGTGTATTCAGGTTCTATTTGGTAGATTATGATGGTAATAAATTTGAAGGGAGGAGAATTAGCTACTCCTGGACTACCTTGCTATGAGTTGTAATGAAACCAAGTTTCAGACTAAATTCTGCATATACGTTATTAAATAAACATACACTGGCAAACATATAAAAGTAATTTGCCAGCCTGTCCCATAAGCTCTATGAAGTCCCAACTCTAGGTACTTTCAGGCGCTCCAATTCATCCTGCGCTGAAAGGCTCGCTGAGGAAGACAGCAACATTCCCTGCTGTGCCGTCAGAGGTGCACTCCATCAGAAACCCACATAAACTAAAGACTAGACACTGCACTGATTTGAGATCTAGTTTCAGGCACCATTCTAGTGTTAATTATATACCTAGTAGATTCATCTCCTGTTGATACATGGGAGGGTAGGGGGAGCATATTGGAAGTATCTCTGAACTGTTTTAGCAATCCACATATTTAGAATACCTATAATTTCACCAATGAGGCCATGATCAGTGGCTCTTCCCAGCACTTTGGGAGGCTGAGGCAGGAGAATTGCTTGAGCCCAGGAGTTTGAGACCAGCCTGGGCAACATACGGAGTCCTCACCTATACAAAAATAAATAAATAAATTTAAATTTAAATAGCTGGGTGTGGTAGTGCCTGCCTGTGGTGCTAGCTACTCAAGAAGCTGAGGTAGAAGGATCACTTGGGCCCAGGCAGTCAAGGCTTCAATGAGCCCTGATCATACCACTGCAATCCAGCCTGAGTGACAAAACGAGACCCTGCCACAAAAAAAAATTCACCATTTCTTACATACATTGATTGATTGATTGATTGAGATGTAGTCTTACTCTGTCACTCAGGCTGGAATGCAGTGGCACGATCTCTGCTCACTGCAACCTCCACCTCCCAGGTTCAAGCTATTCTGCCTCATCCTCCCAAGTAACTAGAATTACAGGCATGCGCCACCACATCTGGCTAATTTTGTACTTTTAGTACAAAATTAGTACAGGGTTTCACCAAGTTGGTAAGGCCAGTCTGGAACTCCTGACCTCAAGTGATCTGCCCACCTCGGCCCCCCACGGTGCTGGGATTATAGGTGTAAACCACCATGCTCTGCCCCATTTTTAACATTTATTGTGCTAATTAAAAGTTATTCATTTTACCAGTAAAACTCATTTTGAAATTCTGAATGCTGTCAAAGCTTCTGTTGTTATAGAGAAATTGATCTTTGAGGAATCTGAAGTGACTTAGGACTGTGGTCTTTTCTGATATACTACTAGATTGCCATTCAGAGAGTGTTAGCTGACCAACCATCTCTAATAATAAAATTTCAACTGCACATAAGTTATACCACTCTGATTATCATATAAATTACAGACCATTTAGTATTAAGTATATCAGGTTTTATTTTACAATTTTATATCACTTGGTGGCTAATAGAAGACAGTAACCGTCTTTATGAAGTTATGAAGTATATGAAGTTATCTGGTTTATTTGGAAGGTGCTGATATTGAGAGTGTTACCAAGGCATGGGCCTACAACTGAATTCTTTCCATAGCTTAGATGACAGATGACCTCATGCTAATCAGCCTCTTGTTACTCCCAGAGCCATTCTAGAAGCTCTGGGAGTTCCTAGAAACTAACACCAGTGAAGCTTCTGAGGAGAGTTAATGACTTTTCTATTAAAAATTAGGGCCAGGCGCAGTGGCTCACACCTGTATTCCCAGCACTTTGGGAGGCCAAGGCAAAAGGATCTCTTGAGGTCCAGAGTTTGAGAACAGCTTGGCCAACATGGTGAAACCCCATAATTACTAAAAGTACAAAAATTAGCCAGGCATAGTGGTGCACACCTGTAATCCCTGCTATTCGGAAAGCTGAGGCAGGAGAATCACTTGAACACGGGAGGTGGAGGCTGCAGAAACCAGGGATGGTGCCACTGTACTCCAGCCTGGGGGACAGAGTGAAACCCTGTCTCAAAAAAAAAGGGTTATTCACCCTTCATACTTGCATCTATAATGTCCTTGATTTAAGGAAGTTAGATTGGTAGTCTTAATTAGCATTGTCTTTAAATTTTTTGTCTTTATTCATAAAGTCAAATTGAGATCCATTTTTGGTGCATTGCCAATTGAAGAATATTTCTGAAAAAAAAATCGGTAAAACCCACATTATTTTGCATTCTGTCTTTGAAAGTATATCTACATTTTTACCACTTCCTAGAAGCAAATGGTCAGTTTTTCAGATTTTTAAAATCTGTATCAGCGAGGTGCGGTGGCTCACACCTGTAATCCCAGCACTTTGGGAGGCCGACGTAGGCAGATCACCTGAGGTTGGGAGTTCGAGACCAGCCTGACGGGATCTGCCAACCCTGTCTCTACTAAAAATACAAAATTAGCCAGGTGTGGTGGCACATGCCTGTAATCCCCGCTACTTGGGAGGCTGAAGCAGGAGAATCATTTGAACCCAGGAGGCGGAGGTTGCAGTGAACCGAGATATCGTCATTACATCATTACACTCCAGCCTGGGCAACAAGAGCAAAATTCTGTCTCAAAA